CTTACACATTACGCTTTTATAATTATTAGTTGTAAAATGGTCACCAGGCAATATTATCGCTTATGACAATAATTTGTGAGACAATTGCAAAATTTGTTATCGTGACAGGCCTAGTGGTTGGGGTTGGGCAGTATTGATCATTTTCATACCCCGGTAGGACCTTTAGAAAATATCATGGTATATACGGTATTACAGGGTTGTGGCYTGTTTAATAATTAATAATTAATAGAAAACGGCTGCTTGTGAGCATTACTTACATAATCCAGTGATGGAGTTTTGAAAAACCTCAGATCTGATGTTTCTGTCATTCAGAGCAGCAGCAGGAGTCAAATGAGTTAGACCCTTTTGATACAGAACAGATCAAACACAAGTCAAACTATGTCTTTTTWGAGTTTTAAGTTTGAAAATAATCTTARTCTTACTMTGGTRGTTTCAAAYCTGCTGCATGCTTTTAGCAAGAAAAGTCTTTGTGKCGATGAAGTTTGCACTTATTTCTTTATCTGCAGCGCGAAGAAAAAAAGCGTCCCACTCTTTGCTTGACCTAAGAAACGCCCCAGCTGGTTGGTCCWTGAAGCTGTCAGTCAGCACTGTCGTTTTTTGTTTGTGTTTTTTTTTAACTTCGTTCTGGGTTTGAACCCCGACAGGAGCCTTTCTGAGTGTAGTTTGCTTGTTCTCTCCATTCATGTTGAGTCAGAAATCAACAACTTTTATTACATCAAAGAGCCTCAAAGAGCAATAAGAAGTGAAAGACGCTGACGAAATATTAATCTAAAGAGAAGAAATGTGCAGTGAGGGAGATGAACCCACAGGTCAGTAAGAACCAGTTTCAGTGACTAAACTATGTCATACAATTAGTTACATAAAATAAATAACAAAAAAACCTAATAAACATTAAACTAGTTTCTTTTTCACGTAAAAGAGAGATAGCTGTGGAGATCAAGAAATTCTCAATTCCTAATAACTCCAGTGGAACTCAAACTAAAACGGAGTTGAACTCTTATTGACACAACTTTCAGACATGTTTTTTTACTTTACGTTTTTACTATTTTAGAGAGTAAACTCCAGGTCTTAATGTTGGTGTTTACATACCAACAAATAGAATTTATTCTAAAAAAAAAGAAAAAACTGCTGCTCCTCTGTGGACAGGAGTCATTGGAGGAAGTTCTTCTGATTCCCTCCTGGTCCTTTTTGAGGCATATCCCAATGGGAACAGACCCTGGGGCCGACCCAGAACTCTCTGGAGGGATTATAGATCCTCTCTGGTCTGAGAACACCTTGGGGTCCGCTATGAGGGACTGGGAGGTCTGAGTTTCTCTCTTAGACCTGTGGGCCCATC